ATAGTCATACAGGCTGCAGATCGCATGGTGTACCAGTCGCTAGGACTAATTGTTTCCATGAATTTTGGTTTTCTTCATTCTTCTTTGCTCTAGACGAGGAGAGACCCATCATTGCATCTAGAAGGCAGCTTGCTAGCTTTTAAGATCCCAGTCACTACTCCCCAAAGTAGGAGGTGGAACAATGTTTTTATAGTATGTTATGCCAATTGATCTTGATGTCCCCTGCGAATATGGTCCCAAGCCCACAGGTTCAACTTCTTGGTCCCTGTGGGTAGCTGGCTGTGACCAAGCAGTGATCACAACCTTGCCCCTTGTCAGACTACTATACACCTGGGAGTTCTGATCATTCACATAAACTTATAGGACCATTGTCTGCCAAGCCTATATATGTTCTTGGATACACTCCCCATTTCATAGACACACCTAATCATTTAGCCTGTTGACCCATCTAACCACCCATATACCCATGTTTGCCTTCACTGAAAACGCAGTAATGTATGTGCAAAAGGGTTCATATTTGTTATCTGTAATTCCCATGTACCTCTCTATGTCTTTCTCATCCTTAATGCTGACATATTGGTCACTCACATTTGGTACATTGCCCTTCTCTTCACCCAAATCCATACTTATCTCTATCTATCTAACAGCATTCCCTCCCCTTCCCTCCTATCCCTGCTAACCAACAAAGAAAATTTCCTTCTACAGATAAACCTTTCCTTAACTTTTACAATAACGGATGAATACAACATTTGTCCTTTTGTGATTGACTTATTTCACTCAGCATAATGTCCTCCAAGTTCATCTATGTTATGCGGTGTTTTGGAGATTCTACATTATTTCTTCAGTGTTGCATAGTATTCCATTGTGTGTATGTATCATAGTTTGTTTATCCATTCTAAAGTTGATGGACACCTAGGTTGTTTCCATCTTTTGGCTATTGTAAATAGTGCTGCAATGAACATGGGTGTGCATATATCTGTTCTTGGCATGTCTCTCACTTCTTTAGAGTATATACCTAGTAATGGAGTGGCTGGGTCAAATGGTATTTCTAATTCCAACTTTTGAAGGAATCGCCATACTGCTTTCCACAATGGTTGTACCATTTTACAGTCCAACCAGC